ACATACCCCTCTGGAATTATTTGTGCTCCTAGCATGTGTAATCTATTTGGGTGGCTGTGCAGGGATTGTGTGTCCACTTCTAGGATGACAAAAAGAAAACAGGCCCCCATTAAAGCAACTTTTTACATTGTTAAATGTGAACCCCTGTCTGTGCTAAAAGTATTTAAGGCTAGCATTTGACCTATGGATATTTTCAAATTTGGGATCAGACACCAAACTTCTGATTATCTGACACCAGGTCTGAGTACAATACCACCCTGAGATCTACAGAATAAAAATATTATAAATGCTTGGTATTAATTATGTATTATATTCAGCAGAGTAAATATATTAAATTTTCAGTTTGAGCAAGCTAATACTTCACTTTACTATCATTGTGTAGTAGTTTAAAGTATAGTAATTTACCCAAATTTTAAATTTTGAAATTACAATTAATTTTCTCCTACACAATTCTATAAACAACAAGACATTAGGTCTACAATTGATATCACAAAAGAAGTCATTTATGTGTGAGTGTGTGTATATATATATCTATATATATTTGTATGTATACATTGATTGTGAAACTAAGTAAGGTTTTTCTTATTGGTTCTGATACACAATGGCATTTCTGTTATTGATCAGTGAAGCATGTCTCTGTAAAGAATAAGATGTACCTCATCTTCATGACTTTCCTTAACAGCCATTGCAGCATTCCTCTGGGTATTTTGACCAAGCTTGAGATTCTTCTCATTAGAGAGAGATGAGGTAACCAGGGTTCCCCATTTAGGCTTCAAAACAGCCATGTAACGCTATATGAAACTCTATGCAACCAAGGTGTAGGGTGGCATGCAGAGAGCAGACTCATACATTCATGATCATATCATCAAAACATGGCATGTCCACTGTAGATCACTATCAAAAATGCCTAATCAAGGGTGACACTGTGGATGTGCTGTATGCAAGGCTAAAGTAGGTACCCTTTTAGTTACATCACATATTGGATTTAATCACTGCAAACTCTACAAAGATTTTGGATTACTGAGTAGTGAGTACTATCAAGATAATCTATGTGAGGTAGTTTGCTTAAAGCAGATTGAGAGCCAAGATTCTTGGATTCTCTTCTCCTCTGACTTGATTCTGAGTAACCTCAGCACTTAGCCTCTCTTTGCCTAAATTTCCCTAGTATATAGACAACACTGTAACACTTACCTACTTCTCAGGGGAACTGGGGAAATTCATGCATTTGTACACCACTTTGAGATCCTTAGATGAAAGGTGCGATAAAATTGCAGGGAAACATTATTGCAAGCTATTATTTCTAAACTCAGATTTAGCAGTAGCTACTAATAAATGAATTGCATCATACTGTCATAGGCATTTGCGAAAAGCTGTATTAGCCTCATTCTGAGTTCGACATGAGGCCTTTCTCTTTTTCATCATTAACTGGAATCTGGCACTTGATTAAAGCTTCATCTACCTGCAATAACCCAAGAAACACCTAAAGATACATCACATTGCTTACATAAATTACCAAACATGCGGCTGAGGCATTTGAAAAGCCACAAATCTTGTCAATCAAATGAAGATCTAAAGAATTTACTGTCACTTTGGATCCAGATTGTGTCAAGACAGAAACATTCCTGAGACACATTTAGAAAGGTTGCCTCACCACAGTCATCCAGTGTGTCATCATTTACCCTCCTCCTTCCACACAAAAAAATCTACAAAATATCCTTCTAGCTGCGGTGGTGATTAGAATGCGTTTAATGTGGGAGCTCCCACTGCGTGTGTGTGTAAACATAAACAATAAGCCAAAAGCCTAATATCATAACTCAGATGAAAATAATGTAATTTAAGACTTTAACTTTAATTAGAGTTTTAATGCATTAGGAAGCTACTGGGATGTACTTTTATGGGGATGCATATTTAATTTGTGATAATTTATTCATGTCACTTAGGGGTCCATCCTACAAGGCTCTAGCCTTGATCCAGCAAAGCACTTAAGCATGAATATGCATGAATTCTCAGCTGAATATAACCCCATTCTCTGCCAAACTGAATATAATTCAGGAAGGATGTTTGTGTATGAAAGTCTGCATTTTAAGAATGACACTGTCCTCTGCTTCCCTCTGAAAAAATTATCTTGCAGATAATATGGTTTATTTTCCCGCTTGGAGCCTGATTACATTGTGGCACAAACACAAGGCAAGGTGGCATTCCTCCTGCAAACGTAAGAGTACAAAGTTTCTTCATGCTGACTTGCTTAAAGTATCTGTACAATCAGAGCGTGAAGGTCAGAGAAGGGTATGCCTGATCAAGCTCTTCAAAAGGTTGTAGTCAGCTCTTCCCTCACACAGTGTGACTCCAGCATCTTCAGTCCCGAGGACTATGTCTACACTACCACAGTAAGTTGACCTAAGTTACAAAACTCCAGCTACGTGAATAACATAGTTGGAGTCGACACAGCTTAGGTCGACGTACTGAGGTGTCTACACTGCGCTGGGTTGACGGGAGACTTACCTTATTCTTCTCGTTCGGGGTGAAGTACCAGGGTCGACCAGACTAAATCTGCCGTCGATTTAGTGGGTCTTCACTAGACCCACTAAATCGACCCCCAGTGCATCCATTGCCGGACTGTTGATCCGGCGGTAGTGTAGACATAGCCTCAGACTCCCAGCCCTCTTCCTCTGGAGTGCCTTTTTGTTGTCTGATGCCTGTAGCTACAAAGCCTGAGATTATGGAGAAGTCATTATTCTAATACACTTTTGACTAGTTGTATATTGTTTCATTTCTAAGATCAATAATGGTAGATTCAGAACAGCAAACTTGTCTTCTGCAATGATTAAACAAGGCCTATGTTACAGTATCAGCCATGTACACCTCTATATGTTATTTCATAAACTTTAGCAGACATTTTACATTTTAAAAACATTGAAAACAAGTCAGAAAAATCAATTATATCCTCTCAAGGAGGATAATCTCTGAATTTTTTCACCTAATCATAATGATTTGTTACCAAGTTTTCACAGAATCAACTTGTTACTCATATGTGCACTATGCAAAAGAATATCACCACCTAGTTTAAAGTCCTTATTAAAGACTTTCAGAAGTAAATTTTGGTGGATGTGATTTTTCACCAAATTATATGCAATGGTAACAGGACAAAGCATTTGTGCACTCAGCAACATTTCTTCTGAAGGAGAGGGCAGAACTGTTGCCTAATCGTTATAATAGGAAATTAGAAAACAGGGCCCCTGAGCTCTGTTCACAGCTTTGGTATTGACTGTCTTGGAAGAGTCATAAACCTCTTTGTCACTCAGTTTATCCATACATAAAATGGGGATAACATTTGTATCTTTCTCACGGTGGTGTGATGCTTCCCTTGTTCAGGCTTATGAAGTAGTTTGAAATTCTCTGATGAAAGTTACTAGTTAAATACAAAATAGTCTATAACAAAGTAATAACAAAACAACTCAGTTTGTTCAGTTTAACAGCTACATTACATTCCAGCTAATCCTGCATATGATTTTCTTGATTTCAAATATTATTTCCTCTGGATAGTAGCAAGAAAATGCCTCATTTACAATGGAAACCATATTTTGATTTAAAAAATTCAGATGGGGTGCAACTTTCTTGACTTGTTTTGCTCCATATGAAACACATACGTCAAAGCCCCTAGATCTTGCAAGCTGTCATAGCTCAAGTTTCTATTTAAATCAATGGGAGTTCTATGTAAGATTCCTTTCAGGATCAAGCCTTTTACCGGTGCAATGGAACATGAAAGTATGTGATTACTAAAGCTTCAGTCCTGCAGTGTGCTCTGTGTGGGTCGGTCCCTGTGCCTGTATGGTGCCCCACTGACTTCAATGGGATTCTATGGGGTGCAGGGTTTCCACTTACATGGAGCTCTTTGCTGTAAGGATTGGGCCTTTAGTTACAACATCTCTCCTATAGGTTCTAGAGAGATATAACAATATGTACACCTTATCAAACAGCAAGATGATGTTATTCAATCTACCTACTTTAGGACCCTACCTTGCTTTCACTGACTTCAGGATGGGACCTTAGATATTTGAAATTGTATAGATTATGGTCAGATGTTGATTTTTTTTTATATGACATACCTGTGCCCACATACATTTTCACATAAATATTGAAATTCTATTGAACACTACATTGGTGCAATCTTTACAATATTTTTTTCAATATTTATATATTACTTAATTTATCTCAAAAAAGCAGTTAGTCAGGGCTGTGGCTCAAATTCAGCAAGTCAGTGGGACAACTCACATGTTTAAAGTTAGGTACATGCTTAAGTACCTTGCTGAACTGGGGCCATAGTGTGCAGTTGAGGATATCAATCCTAACTATTCCCCCTTTGTTAGATGGATAAGGAATAACAAAGGTCAGAAATCCTTTTGTAAAACCAAGAAACAGAGTGGGTCAAGTAAAATTGCAATTTAGCTATTAAAATAGTTGAATATTTGATCCATTTCATTAGTATTAATCTGTTCTATTTTGCAGCATGTGCACTGAAAGCAAGTTTCAATACTGAATTAAAGTTATCAACTGAAAATAGTTTTTCTTTCTTTTTTATTGAATAATAGCTATCTAGATAAGGCTATTTAGGAGTTGAAAAGTAAAGGCTACTGAAACATGATATTTACTTTATTTGGTCATTGCACTTCACTTTCAAATTACTATCTTTAGTCATCTGTGGACTCATTAACATTTAAAACTGATCAATAAATTAAGGCACTGACATAATTTCTTTACTTGCATTTTCCTCCTAACCCAAATTCAGATTCTCCAAAAGTCAAACTCCTTCACAGTTAACCAGGATACTTTCTTTTAGCCTAACCTTTCCTTTCTCTCTCTTTCTTTAAATGCCCAATTAACAAAAAAGCATAAGATTGGATAGGATTGGATGAGGATCAAGGAGGCGTGTGTTGGGAATGACGTCAACTGAGACAATAAAAGGGCTTCTTAGTTACTTCGAAGTTCTATTTTAAAGTTACATTTAAGGGGTCCACTAGACCAATTCAGTAGTCTTTAAATATACTCAACATCAGAAGACAGTCAGCTGCTGACTTATCTGAAGCAGAAACCTGTTTAAGACATTATTTGGTAAGTTTGCCATATTTTCTTTTAGGATACACTAGATAAGTGATTTTAATAACAAATTATAATTCAGTTTGTGTATTTTGTTTTCTGATTAGGTTAAGCATAAAAATGGAATGAAAGTGAAAATCTGCTGTTTTTAAGATTGTTAACTGAATCAGCTTTTTAAAATTCAGTTAAATTAATAAAATTCACCTATGATGGTGGATTAAAGAAATAACTCAAAGTGAATTCAACCACTGGATTTAAAATAGTGAGTTAGATACTGTGCTTGGAGCATATTCATGCTATGATGTAAAACATGGTATTGTAAATGCTTTTCTGACCTACAGTAAAACTGTAAAAATCAAACAGGAAAGTAACTGTAAAAATGGCATTGTAGGATTCTATATGTATTCTGCCTCAGTTACTCCACATCAAATTTGCTTGGTTTACAACTCAAAAGATGTTTTTCTAGCTATCATCACTAAGAACTCAAGTTGGAATCTGAAATTCAAAGTTATTTCTGCCTTTCAAACTTATTTCTGCCATCACCAGTACTAAATATTCTGCAATTATAATTCAACTGACAATTTTGTTGATGTGCAAATCAAAATAAAATCCATCTCTTTTCCATAGCTATATGACCTATGCAGTAATAGAAACTGTAAAAACTTGGGGCCCAATTCTGATTTTACTTACATCAGGGTATATAGGGACTAACAACACCGACCTCAGTAGTTATGCCAATGTAAAGCTGCCATAAGAGAACCAAGGTTCTTGGTTCTGTCAGCAAAATCAGCAAAGTTTAATGACACAAAAGAAGCAGACAAAATGTAATACTTTGCAATTTACATAGCTGTATACAGGTATTTCAAGGACCTTTACAAATATCTCCATGAGACAGAAATTAATAATAAATAATAATACTTTGCAACTAAACACTGCTTTGCATCCAAAGATATCAAAATGGTGGGTATTATTATGCCCATGGTAATATGGGGTAACCGAGGCATACAGCGGTTAAGAGACTGCCCAAGATTATACTGCAAGTCATTATAAAAATTAGGAATATAATCCAGTTCTTCTGATACCTAAATTCCTTGTTGTAACCACTACATGTGAAAGTCATTTTTACACAATCTCTTTTCTGACTATACACATGTTCAACACTTTTCTCTGTACCTAACCCTAACTGTTCCCCTAGTTTAATTGTTTTGAAATTATTTGAAATATAGATTTACAAATTTCCTTCCTTTTATCCTTACAGTTAACATGATTTCTGTCAAAGATATGGCTAAGACTGCAGTCGTTGTATATGCAATTTGTTTCTTTGCAAAATCTGATGGAAAACCAGCGACGTAAGTATATTGCTATACATTTTTTGAATTTGGGGATATTTTTACTAATATTCTTTACTTTCATCTTGACTGATTACCTAGCTATCATCATCTGAAATCTGGCATCAAGTACAAGAATTAAAATAAACAATGCCAGCGGCCAAACAATATTGGCACAAAACTAGACCATTTTCTTCTTCTAACCCTCCTCCCTCTAATAAATCCACCACCAATTAAATATCACTACTTCCCCTCTCACCAGCAGACAGTATATCCCCTGGGTAAAAATCCAGGTTGAATAAATGTGCTTGCACTGCCTCCCAAAAGTTCCCAAACTTGGGCTTTAGTGGAGATCAAGAATTCAAGGAAAGGCCATTGTGAGATTGTTACTTTGTTCACCCTTCATACAGGAAGAGGTCAGTGAGTGAGATGCAACTGATGCACAATCTTGGGGAGCACCTGCACACTGTGGAGAGACAGGATTGGCTTCAGCTGAAACTGCAGGATGTGCACAGTGCCCCCGAGGCACTGGTGGATGCTAGAACCCAGAGGCCCCGAAAGAAGGATGATATTGTTCTGGGAGAGATCAGAAGTCGTAGGCTGCTCCCTGAGCATTTGCAGGCAGCAATGCAGAAGAAACCTATTGTTCTGGACAAAGCTTACATGGACAACATCCTCTTCAAAACAAAGTCCCAGTGAAAGAGGCATAGCATTGTATCTGTCCAAGTAAGCACATGTCTGTAACTCACCGAGCAACTAGGGCATTTTATTATTATTTATTATTTGTATTACATTAGTTTCTAGAGGCCCCAACCAAGACAGAAGCTCCATTCAGCTAGGTCCTTTACAAACATAGATTAAGAGATTGTCCCTACCCACCATCTCAAATGTTGATAATTTTTGAATATCTAATTCAATCGCTAATGGGTCCCATTTATTTCCATTGTTTAAAAAAATAATGTATGTTTAAAAAACCAAACAAGCAGGAGGTTTAAATATAAATAGTTACAAAAAAGGCAGAGTTAAAATAATTTAAGGCCAGGTTCTACCACTCTTACTCACATTGAATAGTACCTTAACCCAATGGAATCCTCAGAGAATAAATTACTAATCAACCTAAGTGAGGACGACAGAATCTGACCCCATAATAAAAAGGGCACCACCAGTTCTATAGGGACTGAAACATGTGCTTCACTCTACACACAGTGACCAGTCCCATTGATCCACTACTCACAATGCATAAAGTTAAGTCACATTCATTTACAAGATCAGGCCAAGATTTGGGAAGTGTTAATTACATATAAAAATAAAAAAAGAGGACTTTAATTTAAAAAATATTAAAAAGTAAGGTAAAATATAAACATAGGAAAAACAAAGATTATAAATTATTAAAAGGAAAGGGCTAGAATTAAAACTAATTCTATAAACAATAGAAAAATCAAGGGTTAAATATAATATTAAAATAGGGGAAAGGTTTAATTACCCAACAAAGGCCAAAAGGATAGGATCTATAACATAAACAATAAAAGGAGATGTAGTGGCATGCATCTAGGTGTGAGGCTAGGTAACACAAAGTGGGAGTGAGGTATGGGTCAGACAGTTAAAATTAAAACCAAAATCGTACACAATATTTTCATCTCCCTCTTGTCTGTAAATTATTCACTCTCTAAATTGTCTGTAAGTTATCGTAGGCCCCATGTGTGAGTAACTTTATGCTGTAGGACTAATAATTCATATGGGTAATGTTATTCATGTGCATGCATAAGTATTTATAGGAATGGGGTAATAGATTCTAAAATCCTTGCAACAGGTTCCCATTAGCCTGTGGAAATCATTGCCACAATATACCACACAGGCTGAGAGCTTAGCAGAATTCAAAAAAGGATTGGACATTTTTATGAATAACAAAAAGGTTTATAAGTTAAATTGTAAGGATAAAAAAGAATAGCAAAGAAAAAACCCTTAACCTGAATTTTGGAAGGAATATAAACCCTCATGCTTTGGAGCATAAACAAACTTCTGACTAATGGAGTTTAGAAAGAAACTTTTCCTATAGGTAATGTTTTCCATAATTGTCTGCTGTGGAGTTTATTACACCTTCCTCCAAAGCATCTATTACAGAGCACTATCAGAACCAGATACTGGACTAGATGAGATGAACTATTGGTCTCAGCCAGCCTGGCTTTCCCCATGTTCCCTAGCCATTTTGCCAGCCATGGAAGTAAACATTTTCAACACCACCCACTCCCTGCAATGGCTGAGGGGAGGAGGGAAAAAAGGGCTGGCCAATCAATGAAGCAAATGGAAAACGGCCAGCTAGGCAAAGCATAGAGCAAAAATTAAAAGGCAGAGCGGGTCACAACAGCACAGTGCTCCCTGGAAGTTGGCACCGAGGGCGCCCCTAGAACCTGCCCTGTTCCCATATAATGTTTATTTGTCTGTTTGGTGTCTTCATGCTTTGGGAAACCAGTGAACAAATAATAAATAATAATTTCACAATATAAATTAAAATCTTCGGCAAATTAGAAATGTACTTGCAACTAGTGAACTGTATTTCATTATCTTGACTATACCTTTACTAATGTAAAGGCCCTGATGCTACAAACTGATGATGCACTAATGCAGACCCTGCACCTGCACAAAGTCCCATTACAGTGAATGGTACGCGATGGGTGTTTAGGGTTCTTTGATAGTACATCTATTTGTGGGACTGGGGCCTTAAAGTGCACCTTCTATTTATTCTTTTGTTGTATGTTTGTGCATAACTTATAAAGGAATAAAATTGCATTTTTGTACCTATGTCTCGCTTATGTATCACCAAATAAAATGGACCAAAAGCTCTTGGACATTATTATAAAGCATAATGAACTCTGATTTTCCTGTCAGTATTTATATTGGTAAATGCGCGGATGAGATGATGGTGTAGGGAGACAGGTTTTAGGTTTATTAGGAACCTGGGAACCTTTTGTGAAAGGGGGAAAGTATACAGGAAGGATGAGCTCCACCTAAACCAAAACAGAATCAGACTGTTGGCATAAAAAATTAAGAAGGTTGTAGAAGATTTTTTTAAACTAAGAGCTGGGGGAAAGCTGACAGGTGCAAAGGAGCACATGGTTTGGGTGGAGACATCCCTTAGGGATGAATCTATTAAAGGGGGAACTCTGTATCCTAGTAAAGAGGATAGGAAAGAAGTTGGTAAAGTACATGTGGGAACTACTGAGGAACACTCAAACATAAATCCTATTTAAATATAACACATGATGGGAAGCAACTGAATATGGATAAAATATAAAAGTGCTTATATACAAATGTTAAAAGTCTAAATACTAAAATGGATGATGGGTGAACTAGAGTGCCTCGTATTAAATGAGGATATTGATATAATAGGCATTGTGGAAACTTGGTGGAATAAGGATAATCAATGAGACACAGCAATACCAGAGTACAAAATATACAGGAATGACAGAGTAGATTGTGCTGGTGGGGGAGTGGCACTATATATGAAAAAAACATATAGTCAAATAAAGTAAAAATCTTAAATGAATCAAACTGTACCATAGACTCTTTATGGACAGAAATTCCATGCTTGAACAATAAGAGTATAGCAGTAGGAATATACTACTGACCACCTGACCAGGATAGTGACGGGACTGAAATGCTCAGGGAGAGCAGAGAGGCTACAAAGGCAGAAAACATAATAATAATGTGGGATTCCAACTATCCTCAGGGAGGGATGCAGAGATAAAATTTCTAGAAACCATAAATGACTACTTCTTGGAGCACCTTGTCCTGGGACCCACAAGGGGAAGAGGCAATTCTTGATTTAGTCCTACATGGGGCACAGGATCTGGTCCAAGAGGTGAATATAGCTGAACCGCTCAGTAATAGCAACCATAATGTAATTAAGTTTAATATCCATGTAGGGAGAAAAATGCCAAAGAAACCCATCACAGTAGTAACTTCACAAAGGGCAACTATATAAAAATGAGGAGGCTAGTTAAACAGAGATTAAAAGGAGCAGTCACAAGGGTAAAAGGCTCGCAAACAGCATGGAAATTATTTAACAGAAGCGCAAACAAAATGTATACCCCAAAAAGAAAAACAGTAAGAGGACCGAAAAAATGCCACCATGGATAAACAGATAAGTAAAAGAGGCAAAAAGGCATCCTTTAAAAATTGGAAGTCAAATCTTAGTGAGGAAAATAGAAAGGAGTATAAACGCTGTCAAGTCAAGTGTAAAAGTATAAGAAGACAGGCCAAGAAAAAATTTGAAGATCAACTAGCTAAGGACACAAAAACTAACAGCTATTTTTTTAAAAGTACATCAGAAGCAGGAAGCCTGTGAAACAGTCAGTGGGGCCACTGGACGATCAAAGTGCGAAAGGAGCACTCAAGGAAGAGAAGACTGTTGGGGGGGGACGAGAGAAGGGGATTCTTTGCATCAGTCTTCACTGCAGAGGATATGGAGGAGATCCCCATACCCAATCCATTCTTTTTAGGTGACAAATCTGACAAACTGTCCCAGATTGAAGTGTAAATAGAGGAGGTTTTGAAACAAATTAATAAATCACCAGTATCAGATGGTATTCCTCCAAGGGTTCTGAAGGAATTCAAATATGCAGAACTACTAACTGCATCCCACCACTTACATCAGCCTCTGTAAAAGATGACTGGAGGGTAGCTAAGGTAATGCCGATTAAAAAAAAAAAGTCTCCAGAGGCGATCGTGGTAACAACAAGCCAGTAAGCCTAACTTTAGTGCCAAGTGAATTGGTTCAAAGCATAAAATTATCAGACACACAGATAAAGATGATATGTTGGGGAAGAGTCAACGTGGCTTTTGTAAAGGGAAATCATGCCTCATCAATCTATTAGAATTCTTTGAGGATGTCAACAAGCAGGTGGACAAGGGTGAGCCAGTTGATACAGTGTACTTGGACTTTCAGAAAGTTTTTAATAAGATCCATTACCAAAAGCTCTTAAGCAAAGTAAGCAGTCATGGGATAAGATAGAGGGTCCTCTCATGAATTAGTAACTGATTAAAAGATAGGAAACAAGGAGTAGGAATAAATAGTCAGTTTTTACAATGGAGAGAGGTAAGTAGCGGGATCCTCCAAGGATCCAGACTGGCACCTGTGTTATTCAAAATATTCCTAAATGATCTGGAAAAAGGGGTAAACAGTGAGGTGACAAAATCTGCAGACGATACAAAATTAGTCAAGATAGTTAAGTCCAAAGCTGACTGCAAAGAGTTATAAAGAGATCTCACAAAACTGGGTGACTGGGTAACCAAATGATAGATGAAATTCTGTGTTGATAAGTGCAAGTAATGTGCATTGGAAATAAATAATCTCAACTATACATACAAAACGATGGATCTAAATTAGCTGTTACCACTCAAGAAAGAGATCTTGGAATCATCATAGATAGTTCTCTGAAAACATTCATTCAATGTGCAGTGGCAGTCAAAAAAGCTGACAGAATTTTAGGAATCATTAAGAAAGAGAGATAATAAAACAGAAAATATCATAATGCCACTATGTAAATCTAAGGTACACCCATAGTTCGAATACTGTGTGTAGTTCTGGTCATCACATCTCAAAAAAGATATATTAGAATGGAAAAGATGCAGAGAAGGGCAACGAAAATGATTGGTGTATGGAACAGCTTCTATACAAGGAGAAGTTAAAATGACTGGGACTGTTCAATTTAGAAAAGAGACGACTAAGGAGGGAATATAATAGAGATCTATACAATCATGAACAGTGTGAAGAAAGTGAATAAGGAAGTGTTATTTACACTTTTTCATAACACAAGAACTAGGGATCACCCAAAGAAATTAATAGGCAGCAGGTTTTAAATAACTGGAAGTAATTCTTCATACAATGCTCAGCATGTTACATGTTACAGTGGAACGCATTGCCAAGGGGATATTGTGAAGGCCAAAAGTATAAATGGGTTCAAAAATCAATTAGGTAAATTCATGGAGGATAAATCCATCAATGGCTATTACCCAAGATGACCAGGAATGCAATACTGTGCTCGAGGCCTCTCCCATGGAGAGCGTGTAGAATCACACTCCTAATTTTGACACTACTATGCTGCCTGCAGGTAAAAAGGAAATACTGTATCCTGAATTTATTATATAAATATTCCATACATGAATCACTACTGAATTATTATTGAAACAATGGGCACAATTAAATCAGCAATCATGGCAGATGCTGATTCCTGCCAGCCCTAAAGAGGTTATGAATACTCCCAAAAAAGAAATTTCAAAAGCTGTGCAGAACTAATATCACAATAATTGTTTTACTTTAAGGGGAAGCAGAACAATAGTACAGCAATGAAAGCATGCAAAATATACTCTAATAAAAACTGAAGAAATTGTAAAGTCAGTTGAGAAAACAATTATTGCTGCTTGTCTCCTCTAAATACTGCTGTTTAATATTGCTGAGACTGCTGGTAAACAGCATGTAACATTTGACTCCTTGCCTAGGTAGCACATTCTTGATTCTAATTACTTTGTCTTTTGTGCTGGCTTTGTTGGCATTTTATTGTCCTAATGATGGATTCCTGAATAGTCTGGTTTACCGCTCTGTTGTTAAAGGACAGAAAGAGGGCTGGTCTACACTGGGGGGGCGGGATCGTATCTTAGATTGAATTACCTGGGGTCCACACGGTGCGGGATCGACGGTCACGGCTCCCCTGTCGACTGCGCTACCGCCACTCACTCTGGTGGAGTTCCAGAGTCGACGGTGAGCGTGTTCGGGGATCGATATATCGCGTCTTAACGAGACGTGATATATCGATCCCAGATAAATCGATTGCTACCCGCTGATATGGTGGGTAGTGAAGACATACCCAGAGAGAGCTCATTTAACTGAATCACATTTTGCTGCATGCAGTAGTTAAGCTTCCAGTTTCTCATATGCCATTTAATGTTATAAGGGAGAAAAGCTTCATGCACATATCTCATATAAAGTTTAAGACATATTTGTTGATGATTCCCTATCGGAAAAGGTTAGTTCCAAAAACTCAGCCCTGATAATGCATTAGGCAAGGCCAGAGATATAAACTCATTGAAACTTCAGAGCAAACTTTAAAGAGCATACCAGGCAAAGATTATATTGAGTTTCAATCTCTGGAATCAGGGCCAATTCGGTGAACTTTCTCCACTAGTTTGACATCATCCTTTGCAAAGTGAATGCTAGCAATGCTATATATGGTACCCCCCAAACTCAGGTTGTCATGCATGTTACTGGAACAATTCTATCTCTAAGATTGTGTCCAAAGGGGGCTCTATTCTTTTCATCTCCCCACATTGCAAATATATTCCCTTCTCTTTCTTTCTCTCCATTCTCTTCTTCCAGCTTTCCAAGGGAGAAGATACTAGTGGTTTTAGGCTGTAAATTCTTTGGGGAATTGACTGTTTTTGTATGTGTTTGTACAAGGCCCAGTACAATGGGGGTGACTGAGGTATCAGCCTGGGCACGACCCTCATATAAAATACTTAATTAATAATAATACTGAATAAGATCCTTAGAAAAGAGGTGATCATTGAGTTTAGACCTGAATGCACTCAGGCTTGGGGTCAGTTTATTCTCCTCCCATATGGAGCGTGCACCAAACTGAGCTTGTCTAGAATGTGGAACATAACAATAACTGTCTAGGAGAGTCATGGATGGATAGCTGATCCCTGAGATAGCACAATCCCTGTCTATTAAAGGATTTATAAATTAAGAATAGGATTTTGAATTCATTCTTGAAATGAACTGGGAGCTGGTAGAGGCCCTCTCTTGATCAGATTTACAAGCTTAACCT